GAAGCTTCTATTTCACAATCATGGATTTTCTGGTGGTAGTTGGCCTTTCCGAGACCACATCATAAGAGGCTGTTGGTTCACTAGTATAGTACGCTGTACGCCATACTTCACTCCTAGACCAAAAGTTGCTTTCAATATTGGTCTGGTCAACAGGACCAACTACTTTCTGCCCGTGTTCTTTCTTCACTTTGTGGAATTAAGTGAACCGTCCGGTTTGGTTCGTAAATTTAAAATTATGAATAAAAATTATTATTAATTTATGTATATTTTTTATAAAAAAAAATATTATAACGAATTATAAATTATAGTACGAATTCTCATATTAAACACTCTATAAATGGCCCAAAAGCTTCAAAATGGACTAAAGGAACGATGATTGCCGCTTTCATTTTGTTATGTTGGATGAACAAATAGCTATTGGTATGTTTAGTTCACGCATTTAAGTTAATAATTTTGATTCTGAATTCAAATTTTACAAGAAAATCCTTAGTTAGAATTTGTTTTATTCAAATTTTTTATAAGAGAATAACATGTAACAAAATTAGAATTATGAGTTGAAACACACGAAAGAAACGGACTATAAGATTCCATACTAGTTCACAAGAATGGCCTCCACATAGCTCCTTTTAAAAGTTATATGACAAATCAAATCATATGGGTTAGGTTGGGTTGGGGGGACATGATGTAGTAACGATAGAAAATCTCAATCCTAAATATTTGGATCAATTTGTGATTGAATAATTTTTCAATCCGCAAAATGCGAACACATACACGCCAATGTAGTGGTAAGGATGCATTTCATTCTTCTGCTCCCATATGCATTTACTCGAAACCCCATTCAAAGGTAATGCCCGACTAAGTAAGATGGGTGACACTGGACTCATGATGAGGAGAATGAAAATCGGGCCCTCTTTCTCGTAGAATTAGATTTAAGGTAGAGACGTAACAATGGGCCGGAGCCTGTGGGCCGGCCCAGGCCCCTCATGACACAGTGACGGGCCAGGCTGGCACATTCCGTCACTGTTTAAGGTACGGTCCAACTCATAAATATTGGTGAGCTAGGCTGGGCCAACATATATCGACCCATGGGCCGGCCCAGCACGGCTCATGAAAAATCATGGGCCAAGCCGGTCTGGGCCGGCCCAGCCCAGTCCATCTAAGGCCATAATATGTTTATGTTTTTTTTTCTCTTTTTTAGTAATTTTGTAAACATCTTATGTATAATTATCCTGATTGTACTTTCTTTTCCTTACCAAGGTTTTGTCCCACTGGGTTTTTTTTAGAAAGGTTTTTATTTCATGAGGTAATCGCAAATAAAATATCCTTTTGCATATTTCCATTGACTATTCAAACTTATATTTTTGTTAACTTGTTTAAAAATTCAAAAATTAAAAAATTAAAACTTGCATGGTTAGATAGGGCAGCCCATCTAAACCCATGATATGCCAAGATGGGCCTTGAGTGGGCCAACCTATTCAAGGCCTATGGCATGACCTATCCTGGCCTACGGCACGGCCTAACCTTGCCCACGTAAAATTAACCCGTGGTATGGGTTGGGCCAAAGTTATTCTTATACAGGCCAGCCTGACCCGCCCACAAAATTTGTGGGCTAGCCTAGCCTGGCCCACGGCCTGCATGGGCCTAAGGAGAACGGGCCGGGTCGGCCTGTTCTTGCATCTTTAATTTAAGGCTAGTTTAGAGTAATTTTTTCTTTTACCTTTAAGTAGTAAAAAAAAAAAGAAAAAAAAAAGCATAAGTCATGATTTTTTCATTATTATTTGGATTTTTATTAAACAAAATATTACTGTTTAGATAGTGCAAGGAAATGAGTTTTTTTATTTTGAAGAAATTTGAACTTGTTTGGTTATATAAATTACAAGCTCTTATTGTTTTTTTTTTTTTTAAAGTAAATGTAATATAAGGATATGGGTGAAAATTTTAATTTATAATCACAAATAAAAGATTAAACATAAAAATAAAAAAATTCAAAAACTCTTTCCATAAACAAAGAGACTGCCTTATATTAAAAGACTTTATAAAAGCCAACACCTTTTTGAGTGTGTTTATTGAGCATCTTCAAAAGTAACTTGAATTAATAAATCAAAAGTATATTTTTTAAACCATTTCAAACGAGCAATTTTCATACTTCTCCTCTCTATTCCGCTCTATTAATGAACCAAAAGTTTCTTAAAGACAAATGGAATAGGAAAAATAGTAGAAAATGCTAATACAATTTTTTCTGTCACTCTTTTTGTCACTTTCTACATTAACTGTTTGACAAGTGAAATCTACTAACATGATATATTATTATTTAAACAGAAAACGAACTAGTAAAATCTCCGTATAAAACAATGAATACAGAAAGTGACAGAAAATGTGACAGTTAACATTTTTTGTTAAATAATAACACTATTATCTTCTTTTTAATTCAGTAAAAATAAATAAATAAATAAAGAGACTGATAGTTTACCTACCCGACCATGATTATTCAACGTGTTAACGTAGCAGACGCAAGAAACACCTACCAAACAATGCCACTATTGAGGGAGGCAATGACTAAGTGGATCTTCCATCCCATTGGAGCTCTTGAGAACTTTTCACCCAAAAAGTCTGGTTTGCTGCAATTAGTTCATACTTGGTATGTCTCTATCTTGACTGCTATACACAGACCAAGTGACCAATTGGGAACTTTTAGCTCTCAATGCTACTAGAAATTGATCCTCACTACAAAAAGAAGATATTCAAAGAAAAGGGTAAAACCTTGATTATCGTACCGTTGGCGTCTTAGTGAGATTCATGATCTTCCGTTACATAGTTGTGGCCACATCGTTACTTTATAAGTAATACCTAATTTTTTATGTTTTGCTCCCTTTTTTTTTAATCATAATATTGTGGCACTAATATCAACCAAATAAGTAGACGTGCTTTTCTTTTTTCTTTTTTTTTAAAAAAAAGACTAAATAAGCGAACAAACTTCTAACAAAGAAAATAAATTTTTTTCGACCGTTAAATTTAATTAAAATTATATAAAATTAAAAAAATATGCAGAATAATTTTTAATATAAATGTAGGGAATGAAAATAAGATAACAATCGATAATTATTTTTTATCCTAATAGAGAATCTCTCTCAAAAAAAAAAAAAAAACAATTTAGAAAAGAAAAAAGGTCGGCAGGGACAAACCAGCCTAGGATTAGAGCCATCAGTCTCAGAGCTTAGTACTACAGCGGGTCCCATAAACTTTAAATAAATAAAGCCGAGTCAAATTTGGGCCTTTGGCTAACAGAGGTATCATTGTCCTTTGAGGAAAATTATTAAAAAGCCATGAATGGCTCTGTAGTAGAAGGATCATACCTCCAACAACCTAGCAAAGGGCGAGTACCAATCATGCATGACCTGACCTAAGAACCTCCCATCAAACAAACACTATTGTCTGTATCCCATCCTCTTAAGCAAACCCCACAAACTCAAATAATTGAGCTTGGCACTGGATTAGGAACATCCGAAGAAGAATCTAAACAATGTTCTACTCATTCATACATCGTACACGGGCAAAACCGTATCGAAATGTTGGACGATATCTTGTTTTAGTATAGTCCTAACAAATGCCAAGAGCCACCACAAATGGAATGTCCCATGGAGTGCATTCTTACATGCAAAGAGAAACACGAAGGATGTTTGGTTGCAGGATTCAAACTATGATTTGAATTATGATTCATAATTCGCTACAGTGTTTTCTCTCACAAAAAATACACGTAAATCGAAAATGATTCTAATCACATGATTCTAATTTATGAACTAAACGTTAATTACATAATATGCAAGCTTAGTTCGAGCATACAGTATCTCAGGTTAAACTATAACAAGTAGAATCGTCAATCTTCAACGGGTCAAAGTGAGGGAGTTCATCAACTTGCCCAGAAGTGCATTGCACTGGGGAACAATCTATTGCAAGCCAGGAAGTCGAGATGTGAATTACAAAGAGGGACAGCCTCGCCTTCCTGTCGATAGGATCAGCAATTCAAAAGCAGAACGCCCTCACAACGAAGAATACCTTTAATTTGGATCGCACTAACAGGTTTCGCAATGTTAAAGTCGGACAGAGGTAAAAGTTTTGCTCCTAAATACCAAATACCTAATGACAAAACACCAAGAATTGAGAAGAGAAGAGGCAGAAGATTCAAAGAGACGGAACGTTTAAACCTTTTAAAACAATAGACAACCTCATAGTTCTTTTCCTCATCCCCCCGTTGTTGAGCGAGTTCAGTTACAGCTTAAGCTAACAACTGAAAGCGACTTGTTAAAATTCATATGACATCTTAAACTTTCAGGAACAACAAAAAATATGAGAGAAGCAAGAAGATGATTAAAAAAAAAAAAAAATCCACCCTACTGCCTTACGATGCATGCATTCTATGATTCTACAAAAGGCTCTGTATTGTGTGTAAGGACATGAACTAAAAACCTTCAAATTTTCTTTATACAAATAGAATCCACCCAAAGATGCTCATCAGTGCTGTGACATCGTCACCTCATACACTAGCTGAAATCACCTCACAGCATGCTGACCATCCAAGGAGGGCTCTAACTTATCCACATTTTCCTCCATTTTTCATTCGGACTAAATCGGTAAAATTATGGCCACAAGTTATCCCATTCAGTTTCGAACATCAAACTGACATATTCCTGAAGTCATATATGATTCACAAACATAGTAACAAGTTCCCTTTTGTTTTTGGCCAAAAAGAAAATTTTGGTTTGGTTAAATACACAAAGTACGCAATTTTCTAAAATCGAAAACCAGCATTGACCAACAACAATAATCTAACCAAACAATGTTTATATCTCCATGTGTGTAAGCTTCTAATTGTAATGATCTTGATGTCTAGTGAACTTGACGAAAATTTCTAAATTGGCAATCCTAAACGGTAATCACCACTAATATCAATAGGAAAAATGACGAGGCAAGATATTAAAACAACATTAATAAACTGAGACAAATTGCAATTTAAGCAGCCTTGGAAATTTCACAATGCAACAGCTAACAACAGAAAGCTAGCCCATTTGCGCAATTTTTATTTAGAATGTACAAGATACAAAGAACCTATCCAATCAAAATCTGATCTTTTTTCTTTTTTGTACAAAGAACTGTCATCCCCAACAAAGGCAGATCCAATAAACCAAAAAAAAAAAAGAAAGAAAAAAAAAAGAAAAACACCCAACTAACCTCCACCGTGGCAAAACATTTATAACCCGCAAAATCGAATCGACTCGAATCCGGTTTCCAGACTCCCGCAGCCATTGTCGGAATTGTTTTTTCTCCTCAATTCGAGTGGTTCCGACCAAGAACCTGAATCAAATTAGAAGCATTTCTCCTAATCTTCTCATTGTCATCATCCAACAACCCCATACAAATATCCAAAACCCCTTCTTTCCTCGCTTCGTGGAATATCTCGTCGCTGAAACAACAAAGCGAGTTCAGAGTCAGAAGCGAGTACTGGATACCTCTGGAGCTTCCGTTCTTCAAAACCCTGACCAAAATCCTCACGCAACCATTGAACCTCTCCATCTCTTCTCTCCCTTCTTTGCACTTCGCCAACAGCCCGAGAACTTCCACGGCCCTCTCGAGCCCTGAATCGGAGATTCTCATCAGAATAGGCACCGCGCCGGACTGCACGGCGCGCCTCCGATTGTCGGGGAAGGAGCAGATGGCGTAGAGCGCCGTCGCGGCCTCTTTCCTCTCCCGGCCTTTGCCGTCCCTGAGGAGAGAGACCAGAGCCTCAATCGCGTAAGGATAAGCCCCAATCGTGGCCTTGTTGACCTCCACGACCGCCAGGCTGGTAAGCACCGTAGCCGCCACGGCTCGGCAGTTGGACGGGGCGCCGCCGAGCAGAGCGCCGACGATTCGGCCAATCGCGCCCTCGGCGACCAATCCGACCTTGTTGTCGTCGTCGAGGCTGAGATTGAGGAGCAGAGACAACGCCTTCTCTTGGAGGCTGGGATCGTCGGAGCCGACGCACTTGAGAACGGCGGCGGCCGCGCCGGACTCTGTCAGCTTTGAGCGGAGCGCCGAGTCGCGCTTCGAGAGCAGCGTGAGCCGGTCGAGCGAGCCGAGCTTGGAGTCGATCGTGGAGGAGGGAGAAGTGAGGGTGGAGATTAGGGCTTGCGGCTGCGATTCCTCTTCCCGGCGGTGTTGCTGGTGGTTCGGTTGTAACTTCGGAGGGGAGACGAGGGCATAGTTGGAAATCAAGCTCCGGAGGGCGTGGTTGGGAATTAGAGAAGGCTGGTCCGGGAGGGGCAGATTGGTAATTGGGCATGTGCGGTGGCCGGCGTCTAGCCACCGTTGGATTGAGGCGCGGTCAAATGTGTGGCCGGAGGACAGTATGACCGGGTCGGACATTATTTCGAGCGAAATCGGGCACTTAAAATCGTCCGGGAACTGAGTCGCCATTTTTATCAACTCGGTCGTTTTCACCAACTACAGAAGGAATAAGACGAAGGGGTTTATGAGGTTTTGGGTATTGCAGCTGAGAAGGAAGAGCTTCATCGGCGAAACTTCTTTCTTTCTACCCTTTTTTTTTTTTTTTTGCTTTTACTTTTTTTTTTTTTTTTTTTAAAAAAAGAGGCTTTGTGGAGTCTCTAGTTCTGCTCATTTTGATGCCATGCTAATTTGTTATTAAATCACTATAATACCCCTCCCATTAGACTTGTAGTTTCAAGAACGGTCTGGAATATGCTGCTGGCAGGTCGGGATGGAAAGGTAATTTTGATGTCGGGATCCCGTGTGTGTTTCAACTTTGACTTCACAAGTGCGTTGGAGGTGATGTCCTTAAATTGTGCTCCGCTAGTGAAAGTCCCGTTACACCCTTGTGGAATATGTTTATTTTTTAAAAATTTTTTAAAAGTCACTTAATTTCAATTTTACCCCTTAAGATATATATTAGTTGTTGTCTCTCTTTACTCTCTAAACTTTTAAATGACACATTATTAACACATGAGATTAACATCTATTGCGCTAATAGACCTCCATAACAGAAACCTTCAAAATAGATGGAATAGAGTATGTGAAGCACATGTGGCCTTCAACATTTTGGTTAAAAAAGAACTTTCTAGTCCGCTCTCTTTCTTCTTTCATCCATGCAATTTGAGGATAAAGAGATTTTTGTCTTCAAATCATTTAATTGAGACAAAAGGCACTAACAACAACTGTTTTAACACCACTACCCGATCTTGTTCATATCACGTGCTCAATTTTGTTCATTTCTTAACATTTTTGTCTAGGAGATACTATTAGTGCAAAATGTATCAAGCTCGAGTAGTAATAATGTGTCACTAAAGTAAAATGAGACAATTAGGGTCCGTTTAGTTTATTGATTCGAGTTTTTAATTCGAGTTGAGATGTGACTTTATTGTAGCAAAATTCAAGGGGTTATTTAGTTGGGGGATTCGTATCCCAATTCGAATCATGGTTCATAGTTCGCTATAATATTTTTTCTCATAAAAAATATACGTAAATCAAAAATAATTTTAATCAATTAATCAAATGTCTCCTAAATTATAAACTCGAATGGTGAAATAAATTTTTTGAAACCAAAATTAAAATAAAAATCACCTATTTTGTGTGTAATTATCAGCTTTGGTCTGGAAGGGTATCGAGGACATTTCAGTAAGGACGCGTTCTTTTTGCAATGTTTGCAAGGGTTTTCGTTTTGTCGGTTACTTTGCCGGGAAGAGGGGGTTGTGAAGAAGAAGGCATTCGTTTCAAAGGGAGAAAGTCATCATTCCCTTAACTTTACCATTTATGACAAGAAAAGCCACGTCTTCCGTGGATGCTCTCGGGGGGACAATTTTGGAAATTCAATCCCATCCGCTTTAATGGCTGCGACTGTTGAGGAGAAAAAGAAGAATGGACGTGAAAATTCTTGGAAAGTTGAAAAAAGGGTAGTTTTTTCTTCTTCTTCTTCTTCTTTTCCTTTCCTTTTTTCTTTTTTTTTTTTAAAGAAAAAGGAGGCCGAGAAACGCTTTACTGATTGGTATAATTTTGAGAAAAATTTTTAGTAGAGTAAGAAAAATTAGTGATAGAATTTTCATGAGCATTCTGTTAAATGATCACAATTTTTTAATATATATTAATATAAATTTAATGTGACATGGTGATTTATAATTATTTCCTTGGATATTTTTTTTTACGACCTTACTGTAATAAATTCATCAATTGTGGTAAAAAGATCTATCATAATTACGTAATTTAGTTTCAATTTATATTAATGTAAATGTAGGAATTTTTTAAAATGTTCGGCGGAAAAGTCTATCGTAACGGATCTAATCACTGATGGAACGACGGCTTTTTGTTGTTAATAAATTTACTAAACCAGAATCTATTAAATAATAATTAGTGCAAGAGTCATCTGTCCGAAAGTCATAGCCAATAAGAAAATAAAAAAGGGTACAAAAGTCCAAGTATGTGCCGAATTCCAATTTCTTATCCACGTGTTAGGCTTTGAATGGTTATAGCGAGTGACATCAGCCACCTGTCCTCCTTGAATTCATACTCTCCATGTTTTGTTTATTTATTTATTTATTTCAGGCCCATTTAATTTATTAATTTAAATTTTTAATTTAAATTAAGATGTAATTTTATATGAGATCTTTTTACTGTAGTAAAAAAATTAGATGTGACTGTTTCTGAAAGCTTTTTACTGTAACAAAACTCGAATAAGTGAAATGAACGAGGTCTATTTTACCATTTATTCGGTCGTAAGATTACAATTTGAAGTTTGGCTTGAGTTTCTGGCCTTAAAATTCAGTCTCTAGATTTTTCTCGATGTTGGTTTTCTCATGATAGCGGTTGTTTGTAGAGCGGGGCATCCATTAGGGTGGATTGAATCTGTCTTGAGGTTGCTTCTCACTTGGACAATTTTTTATGCGTGTTCATCGGCGAGTGGTTGCACTCTCATGATGTGTTAATCTACATGGTCGTGAGATTTCTCTGGGAGGCAATGGTTTTGTTCCTCGTTGGTGGTTGGAGTGTTCGTTGTAAACGTCTCCTCCATTCTACTGTGGTCCTACAACCATAATCCTCCACCTCCCATGGGTTTAATTTCTTTCTGGGGTGGCTCCACTCAGACTTGGCTTTCATTCCATGATCGATGGCTTGCTATTTGTGGATCTTTCTTTTGTTTAGTTGTAATAAGGGCGATGATGTTATCGCTCCTTTGGTGTGTTTTTTTACTTTTTTTGGTGTTTTTATTTCAATAATAACGGAGACGATATCCTCTGCTTGTGTCTCTCACCCATTTGTAAACGGTGTGGTGTATAATTTATAATGAGAGTTCCTTTTATGTCGTGGTGCGAATTCTCCCATTATGTGAGGATTGATCTCGATCAACTAGGCTAATCCATCCACTGTTTCGGTATTGTTTAATGGGCAATGATCAAGCTCAAAGTTTATGTGCTGAGTGGGTCTCTCTTTTTGAGTCTCGGTACTCATATTCACCCCGTCCTATTGTGGTCTTTATTTTTGGGTCCATTCATTGTTTTGAGGTTGAATTTCTTTGTATTTTGGGCATTTGTGTCTTGTGTAATTTGTATTATGTGAATAATTTTTCCATTTAAAAAAGAATTGACATGTAACTAGGAGATGGGACATGAATTAATGGCATGACCGGTAATTTTTTAATCTATTTTAACCCAAACTAATCAAGGTTACAATCTATAATTAAGTTTTATCAAATAGAAAATTGTTAACAAATTCATTTTAAATATAAATTTGGTTTAACATTGATTAAAAAAACCTCCCGTGCTCTTAAATAGCGATTTATGTGAAAATTGCATGTCAATTTCTATCAAAAAGTTAACACGGCTGCCAAGTCGGGATGGTTTGCTACACAATTGTAGATTTAAGGGGTACATTTTTAAAATTAAAAATTCATGGGTCAAATTGTGTAATTGTGCGATAGGTTTAAGGAACCGTGATGCAATTCAAACTCTTCAAATCCAAAATATCATTTTAGTTTTCAAAATTAGATAGTCAAATTGAGAAAAATTAAAATTAAAGGTATATTCATGTAATTAATCATTAGTTAATTTAACAATTTTTTTGGCTAATCAATTAGTTTAACTATTTATTTCACTTTTTTCGAGAACTTTAAGACTTCATTCATTTTACCGATTCGAGTTTTCAGTTTTAAATTTCGACAGTAAAAAGCTCTCAGAAAATATCACATCTAACTTTTTTTACTACAGTGAAAAGCTCTCTGAAAAATATCACATCTCAATTCGAATTAAAAACTCGAATTCGCGAAGTGAACGAGGCCTAAGATTTATTTTTTTCACAACTCAAATTCTTTATATGAGAAAAAATATTATAATAAAAGATTTGAATTTAAATTTTTTATAAAAAATAATAGTGTAATAAAATATTTTGAGTTGTGATTTGTTTACTTCATCTTCATCTCCGTCTATGAAAAAAAAAATGTACCCATTCAAGCCAAAAAAAAAAAAAAAAAAAAGGTGCCCGAATTCTTTATTTTCATCGCCTCGACTTCATGAAGTCGTGAAAGTTTTCAAAGGTTTATGTTCCATATTTTAATCACACGTTTCGCCTCAAAGTAAGTGCGTAAATTTCACAAAATTGTAAAGTCAATTGTATATTTTTGCAACAACATCCAATTGACAAGATCCCCTGCATTTTTTTTATATTATCCATATGCGTTGTATATATATACACGTAAAGTCCTAGTTACAAGGATAAATAGTATATTTTACAGTGACATTCAGTACTAAAATACTAAATTATGAGTTTTGTTAGATGTCTATCAACGACTCATCATCCAACAAATAATGCTTAGAAATATTAGCAACTTGTACTTCGTTTTATTTATGCCTTCTTTTCACGATTCATTTATTGTAATTTTGGGAGAAACAGGCCTGTAAAAATCCTTTAATGTATAAGAAATTACAAGTATCTTATCTTATATTAGTCTTATATATATATATATATATTATATATTAACTAGGCATTAAAATGTAGAGCATAGTTGGGTAGGGAAGTGAGACGAGACTAGCTCGAAATGGGACTCAGTCACGAAATAAGAGCAACCTTTTTACAGTAAAGTCCTAATTTATTATTTTGGTTTCGATTTTTTTAATATACAATTCGGCACTTTTCATTAAGATAATACCTTTTGAATTATTATTATCTGGGAAAAAATATTAAATTATGGTTTAACTCTTTGATATATATGACATTCAGTTTTTCAAAGTCAAATATACCCTTGAGCTTTTTCAAACGTTTAAATTAAGCATCGTTCATTTTATCGATTCGAGTTTAAAATTTAAGTTTTACTATAGTAAAAAGTTTTAAAAAACAGTTACATCTAATTTTTTTATTACAATAAAAAAATTATCATATAAAATCACATCTTAACTTAAATTAAAAACTCAAATCATCAAATTAAATGGGCCATAAGAAAATTGAGTTTTTCAAATTATATTCATTATTGTGAGCTTTGGTTGAATCATTAATATCAAAAAATTGAGTTGCCTTTTTTGGTAGCTAATTAAGCTACTAAAGTAAGAAAAGATCAAAAGTATCCCTTGAGTTTAAAAAAAAAAAAAAAAA